TTACGATACATACAGCTGAGGTCACAACAATAGAATTGCACACATATGATTTAGAAAATGTTAAACAAAATATGAAAATATGCGTAAAATATTATGCAAATTTTATGTGAATACCAGTCAGATTAGCGATAATAATATAAGTAAACATTAAAAGATGACATACAGTGTGTTACAGTTCATTTCGGGCAGTGTCTAGCAAAAATTTTAATTGCCTGCCATTAACAAATTATCCAATATTTTTCAAAAATTCCAAAGATCGGTGGCAGGTACATATATTAACCACCATAATGAATATATGACCCCCATAAACTGGGGTTTCCCCGCCGGCTAGGCCGGGTTATGTAAAAAAGTACCTGAAATTATGGTTACATTTTATTTCGGGCAGTGGCATTATGGACACCTGGGTGCCATAAAACCCGGATTTTTTTCGCCGGGATGATTATTTTTGGAATAAATAGACCAATCCTTCGTAGTCAGTTTAGTTATATCCTGCATCTCGGGTGCCACCAGCCAACAAGGACTATGGACAAACGGACTACCATTGAGCAACGGAATCTCATCCTGGAACACTTCCAGATTGGATATTCACATCGCCAAATAGCTAAAATGGTAAATCTAAGCACCACAACTGTATTCAACATCATTCGACTCTTCGTCGACGAAAATCGGATAGAGGACGAGGGCAGAAATGCACCAAACAAGATTTTCACCGAACAGGAAGAGCGGAGGATCATCAGGAAAATAAGGGAAAACCCCAAGCTATCGGCTCCAAAACTGACTCCACAGATGGAGGACGAAATGGGGCAAAAGTGCAGTGTGGAAACTGTGCGCCGGGTTCTGCGCAACCATGACTTTAATGCCCAAGTACCACGGAATAAGCCCTTTATAAGCGCCAAAAATAAAGGGACTAGGATGGCATTCGTCAAAACCCACTTGGACAAGGATTTGGAGTTCTGGAACAAATTTATATTTGAAGATGAGCCCAAATTCAACATTTTTGGCTCAGACGGACAAAATTATGTGTGGCGACAGTCCGATACTGAGCTGAATCCCAAAATCCTAAAGGCAACAGTCAAGCACGACGGAGGAAGTGTCATGGTATGGGCATGTATCTCGGAAGCCGGCGTGGGAAATTTGGTGTTTTTTGAAACAACAATGGACAAGAGTGTGTATTTCAATATATTCAAGGAAAATTTACTCCAAAGTGCCAAGAAGCTAGGAATCCGACGTACTTTCCGGTTCTACCACGACAACGACCAGGACAAAAGCCAAGCATAAGTCCGGATTAGTACAGTCCTGGCATATCTGGAACTGCCCCCATAAGATAATTCCACAGGCCCAGTCTCCAGATTTAAATGTTATTTAAAATTTGTGGGCTCTGCTGGAAAATAACATCCGGAATCACAGATCCGATCTCAAGAATGCTCTGCTGGATGAGTGGAGCAAAATCAGTCCAGAAACGACCCGGAAGCTGGTATCTTCCATGAATAATAGGTTAAGGGGAGTTATTAAGGCTAAAGGATATCATTCTAAGTATTAACATCCTTATTTAAGTTTTTATACGCCTAATATGTTACTTTTCCAAGACTGTTCCAAAAAAACTGTAACATGTATTTTGGATATGTTTTAAGTTTTGACTAATTTTAGTTAATTAATTAATATATTAATAAAAACTGAAGCTTCCTTTTCAAACGTGATATAACATAAAACAAATTGGCATTTAAACATTTTGCGTTTGTTTCTTTGTTTAAACTTTATAGCACTTTAAAATTTTTTCTAGACACTGCCCGAAATGAACTGTAAGCCACTGTAGCTATAAACTTATTAACAAACAAAAATATTGTATATGTGTACAATAGCAGAAGAATAATAATGAATATTTCCATGAACAATATATGACATGTACATAGTTTTTGAAAAATAATTGTATTTTACATAATTTTTTGGCAGAATTCGATTCTTCTTAATTTTGAAGAGTTCTCGATTTTATCACCATAAAATTAGTTATATTTTTATTAACCGCTTTGAGGAGCAGCTATACTATACTACTTTGACCGCAACAGTATAAGTGTAAGAACAGACTGATTAGTATTGATAAATTGTTAATTGAATAATAGAAAATTTAAATATACCTCATGGAATAAATTTCAGCTGGATTTAATTTTCATTTTTAATTTTAATAATTTTAGCTTAAAATAAAATAAATAGAAAAGATAAATACAATCCCAAGCCCAAGTTTTTCTATCTGCGTAAAACAAAAAAATAATTTGTAATTCTTAAAATTCGCTTCCAAGATACAATCTTAACATAAAAAAAAAAAAAATCTCATATCTTGCGTTACAAACAATATGCCGTAGTTGTCATGGCCTCGAAAATGAAAAACTTGAAAATGGAATAAAAATAAAATAAGTAATGCATACCAAAAATAAGCAAAACAAAATGAAAAAAACATAGCAACGTCAGCAGCGTTGCAGTTGGCATCGCTGTTAGCATCGCAGTCGCCGTTACTTGGCCCAGTTTTAAGCTTTGGCAACTTAATAGGTCATATTAATTGTCGTCGACAACGACGACGACGTCCAAATCAACAAACCAAGTTTGGTACGTCTAAGCGTACATGTGTGTGTATGTGTGTGTTTGTGTGTGTGTGTGTATGTGTGTTTGTGTGTGTTCGGGAGCTTTTGGTGCCTCGAAGAGTCACGGATAAAATTCGCAAGCCTGACAAACAGTCTTTGCCTGGTGTCCATGCCTATGACACGACCCTTTGAAGCTCTGCTCGACAATATCGATCTGCGATATGGTTTTGTACGGCCTCTCGATAATGTGATTATGGACTATTGTCCGTCCTTGACCAGTGATTAATCCTTAGCCCATACTTGGTATGGTACTGGCTACATACATACATACACATCTGGACAGTAAAATAGGTGTGCAGATAATAATTTGGTTCAGAGAATGCTGTGTCTTTATGAACTAATGCGAAGTTTTTGCCCATCTTAAAGTTTACAGTTCGAACCAAAGGAACTTTACTGAATGTTCTACAAGTTAAGTTCGCATTCCCTAATCGCCGTCGAGTAGTTGTTGCGAGGGCAACATTTCCAATTTCGCTTGCATCCGCTCTTGATGACTCAAAAGGATCACTTTTAGCCAACAACACCATGCGATTATCGGTTGCTGATAAAGTTTTCTTGAACTCGCTTTTTGTTGTTTTTTTTCCGACTTAAGAGCATTTGTAGAGAAGTTCTGAAACCGTCCAATTAATGTAGCTATGTATTATATGTAATTGTACATTTTTCCCTTGATCTTAGAGCTTACACTTTGTCTTCGATCCTTAGCCTTGTAGTGAGTCCTTGGCTCATTTAATGCTATTCGATAACTCACTAAAGCCTTTATTATAATGAATACATATTTAAATCTTACATTTTACAAACGAAATCAATAGAGAAATTAAAGTTGTCTTCATTTTATGCAGCTTGCACCGATTTCACTGTCCAGCATATTGTGCATATTGACACACATTAGGAAATAAATGTGCAAATGAATATCTTAAGCCAGATCAAAAAATGCACAAGTTATTGTCATCACTCCTATTCTAGTGTCCAGGTGTGTATATGAATAGATTGCATGTTCAGATGCACATACATATTATTTATGTTTCTAGAATCAGAGGCAGAGTTGAAAGGCAATTTACAAACATACACGCATACATAAATACATCAATTCCAAGCCCGGTGCACATTTTATAGACGTTTTAGCGCACTGTGAACCATTTAGGAAATCGACAAAATAAAAAAAAATAAAACAAAAAGTTTTATTTTATTGTTTGGACTTAAATTTCGCATGTTTGTTAGATTTTCACAAGTTCTGTTTTTGTTTTTTCTTTCTTTTTTGTGCAGTGCACTTGATACTTGTACAAATGTATGCGTGTGCGTGTGTGTGTGTGTATACATTTGCATGTTATCGACGATTAAATACCCTTGCAAACAATATAAAGAATTTTGATTGATGAATTCTCTCTACATAAGATTTAGGGGCATATTTCTAGGGAGAAAACTTACCAAGTTAGTATAAAATAAAATGATAAAATAGAATAGAATGGATTCCGACAAAATATGCACTGGACTTAATTAGCTTTTGTATGATTTTCATTATCAAAACTGATTTTACTCTGAGCTTTGGGAAGTTATTATAAAATCAATGTATTATGTGGGTACATTTTTTTTATGTATGTATTTATGATCAATTGGTATCAGAGGTAATCAGCATTATCAACAATGGGCACTACAATGCAATGATTACAAGATCTCATAATAAAATAAATCAATCATATTCGTGCTTTTTTTTCGGGACGGCCTGACATGTGACGTAAGTATGTATTTATGTACATATGTATATATTTGTATGCGTACTGTGTGAAGGGCGCGGAGGCAATTACGAAAATAATAATAATAATAACAACAACAACAAAAACAAAAACTACGACGTTAACAATAAATTCAACGATATACATTTCTCATAAGAATAAAAAGAAGGTCAGCAGGCAGCGAGTGATGTCGCTGGTGCTTCTGCTGCCGTCGCAAGCGCTGTCAACGTCGCAGTCATGCTTGACGTCGTCATCGGCGTCAGGTTAGCGATTTGGTAACTGCATATGCGATGATAGCGTAATTAAAATGATATCCCAAATACAATTAAAGCGATAACAAATCACAAAAATGTAACAACAAACAACAAGAGTAAAGCAACATAAGGCGCAATGCCTAACGGAACGTGCAACAAGCCCGTAGCCAAAACAGGGAAGGGGTACAACGGCGGGTCAGCAACGTAACTCACCACGACAAACGCAGAGAGCGCGCGAGAGAGAGAATGCCAAGTCCACCACAAAAAGAGCGAACGCTGCCGACGACGACGCAGCCGACGACGACTCGTTGGCTAGCTGACAAAACGAAACCGGCTTTGGTTATAAATAAACCTTTCCCATGCTGGTATTTGGCTTTCGAGTCTCTTGCGGTGCAGTGACAACAACAGCAGCAGAAGCGAATACGGAAACACAACAACAAACGGCGTTCAGGCGAAAAACACGAACATATCGAATGAAAACCGCTGTGTGAAAAGAAAATACAATTAAAAGAAGAAAAAGACAAAAAAAAGAAGAGAGAAACCAGACCAGAGCAAAACAATAAATAAACCAGCGAAAGACTTCACAGACTGTCCCCCCTCGAGCACAGACTTTTGTTATTATTATTTATTGTTCTTACTGAAACACAAAATTTGTGTGCTTTTTTAATTGTTATTTGGCTGCTGCAAGCAGCACAATTTTTCATAGCTAGTGCAGAGCACGCGTGCCGAGCTTTTTTTTATTATTTATTTATTGTTTTGTACAAAAAAAACAAAGGAAATTCTAATTGGATCAAACGAAATTGGACGAACACCAAGACAAAGCGATAAGCAAACCCAACAACAATAACAACAGCAACAAGAAACCCATTGGAAAGAGTAAAAAAGAAAAGCAAAACAACAAAGAGGCGACAATCGCGCGCGCGCTGCTGCAAGTGTGTGAGTGTGTGTGAATTAGTGAAAGTTACCCGCGCGTGTGCAACGACACAGTCCACGCCCCAAAGCGCCCCATACGCCCACAAAATGAACCGATCAAACAGTTTTGTCAGCTCACTGAAATGGTGGCCACTGCAGGGTCACAACAATCAGGCAGCAACATCAGCAACGGCAATGGCCTCGCCTCCCTCAAGCAGCAGCAGCAGCGCCGGCTACTCACAATCGGCGCCCAGCTCGCCCACATCCAATTGGCCACCGTCGCTGCAGCAACACCACCAACACAAGCTGAGCGTCGGCGCCAATGTGAACGCCACATTTGGCAGCAGCGTCGCCGTACAAAAGCTGCGCGAATCGAAATGGTTCAAACCCGAAGAACAGCGCATTTTCTGCGCCGTCGTCGAGTGCGGCTTCATTGTGGAGGTGCGCAGCAGCGCCGCTGCCGAAGCGGCTGCAGCAGCAGCAGCTGCCGCCGCAGCAGCGGCCGCTGCCAGCGATGTCGATTCACTGGACATCGATTGCCCACCACTAACATTGGCCCCACCACTGATTATACCACGCAACGGCAGCAGCAGCATAAGCTTTGTCGAAACGCAGGACGAGAATGAGACGCCGGTGGCGTCGTGGTTCGGCATCGTACTCTGCAAAGTGGCCAAAGGTGAGTACGAACAAAATAAATGCACAAGTGCAAAGTGCAAATGCAGGAAGCGCAAGTGAGAGCAAAAGAGAGAGAGAGTGAAAAGCTCATTTCGAACGGTTGTTTACAATTTCGCCATTTTCCGCCGTTGAAAATTAAGCTCTCTTTCGCTAGAAGTACATATTTCTTATAATTGAAGTTATTTGGAGCTATTTTGTAGTACATACACTTGATGATTAATTAAAGAGCTATAGACGTCAGAGCAATTAAGCTAATCTCACAAGTTCGACAAATGCTGATATTTCAAAATGACATTCAATAAAAGCAATAATTCGTATACATGTGTAAGTGTGTGTGTATGTACAGTGTCTCGCAGTATATGGTACAATGTTTTTGTATGCAGCACTCTTTTTATCTTATCGAAGATAACAACAACGCCAATATTGTCGAGTGCGGCCGACAAATAACACTGCGCACTGCTCACCTTAGATTTCAAGAGTCAGCAAAATAAAGCGCCAGGCAGCGCCAGCAGCAGCTTAATTTGCGACGTCCCGATTCGCACGCACGTACTCAAACACACACACACATATATATATATATATATATATATACATACACAATCTGTGCTTTTAAATCGCTCTCCCATTTGCTACTGCAACATGACCATTCACAATGCTGCGCCGACAGCTGCCAGAACATTCCAGTTACTTACAAATGTGTGCGCAGCGCAAGTACAAAATGTAAACAAAACAAATAATTAAAAAAAAAAAAAAAACTTTGGACAATGCACGCCTTGACATAGGCAGCAGCGGCAGCAGCATCATGTGCCTTTAGTCACGCATACAGCTTTTTTCTCTCTATTTCATCCAGTAAAAGTCTCAGTCTTGTGATGCGTGGTGAACTTCTTCAAGTGTTTGCTCTTTGCTCAAAGCTTGACGAAAACATCGGCATTCACCACGGCGCACACGACTGTTGCATCTCGTGCAGTCAACAACTCACCACCATATGTGGTGCGGTGGGTGTTTGTATTTGTATTTGCATTTGGGGGTGTGCATAACAATCAATTGCTAAAGCTTTTGCTCTTTGTCGCATGCCATGTCGTGATTATCCTCCATGTTATTGTTGACATCGCTAAACAACTTGCTGTACCATGCATACTGATATACGCACACCGGCTGCATTTATTTGTTATGTTTGTATCGCTAGTCGAATAATAATCATATTTCAATATATGCCACTTGTATAACAGTTAACTGTGTGTGTGTGTTTGTGTGGGCGTATAAATACAGAAAATATGCAATCTGAATTTGTATGTAACGTAACCCAACTGGATGACGTCACAACAACAACAATAGCACTTATCAGTTTCGCTTGGATGCGGCTTATCGCTGAGCCTCAACAGGTGCCACTTTGTAATGCGTTCAATGAACCAGAAAAAAAGATGAACAACGGCAGTACCGATGTATGTATATGTGTGTGTGTTTGTGTAAACGCAATTTATGAGCAATCTGTAAATGAGCTCATTTCAAGTGGTTCCTTCTTCTTCTGCCACCTCCCATTGTTCATTTTCACACGGCCCACAATTGCAGCATATGGCGAAATATATGCTGATGTACAGATGTACACTAAAACATGGGCATGGAAAATATTCAAAGCCATTAAAATACCAACAACAAATTGGAGCTGTCAAGTGTGAAAACATCAACGATGTCAATTATAGAAGCTTTAAGCCAATGTCATCAGAAAAACATCTAATGCTAGACACTCTAAATTATAGATGCAAATTATAATGTATATAATACAATTGATATATATAATAATAAGGAGCTAAAGAAATGTCGTACATTTTATTTTTATTTGCATTCTATTCAATTAACAGCAGTTGAAAGGAATCAAGAGATAATTTGCTCGACAACAGTATTCTTGGATTTTGGTATTTACATGTAGCAAATACCATATATATACGTATATATATATATATGTATATATGTATGCCTATTATAAATATACAGTTAACGTCCCTTTGAATTGACTTACATTCATTTTTGAAATAGTATTAGCAAACATATGTATAGAAAATAATGCAAATTGCATGAGGATTTCAACAATTTGCATAGGAAATGTGCATCTATCCATTTGTATCGAAATCGCTAAAAGCAATCGATTAAAATGCGAAGCTAGTGTTGAATAATGCATGCATAAATTGCGCTGCAACGAATCAATTGAAGGGGAGGCGCCAATAATGCGGAAAGCACCTGTTTCATTTGAAATTAAATTAATCGCAACTGCTCTTTTTTTATTTTGCAATGTTTCGACAGACAACAAACCAAAACCGGAAACCATTGAAATATTTTCTGTGAAAATACGCGAAAATGGCACTTACAAACTGATCAAAATGTCATTGGCCGACATTTGGAGCCATGGCTGGGAGTTACGCATTAATAATTTCGCAGACAAGGAAAAAACGCCGCATATTGAAAAGGACATACGCAATCAGGTAGATGTTATGTACATATATATATATATATATATATATATATATATATATATATATATATATATATATATATATATATATATATATATACATAGATATGTATTTACACATAACATCATCCATCACATTTCTAACGAACATTTGTTATCTTATCTTGGACAGGTGTCGCTGGCGCGGAAGGCCAGGCAGAGTCTGTGGAACAACAATAAGCATTTTGTGTACTGGTGCCGCTATGGCAGTCGCCAGCAGGATGTGCGCAAGCGACAGGTAACCACGAGTGCTAATCACGTGCTGCTGCATTTGATCAACTGATAAGTTTGCACCTATCTATATACTCTTTAATTGTATATAGGTACGAAACACACAACTTTATGTATATTCCAAATGCCCGCCACACACAAAATTAATCCTCAACCCCGACACACACACGCATAGTTGCAGCAGTTGCAGCAGCAAAAACTTTACACATACACACGCACAATCGTTTTTGGCCAACTGACACTAAAGAAAATCAATTGTAACAACAACAACAAAAACAACAAAACAGCAACAAATCATGTTAAATATCATTAAATATTCATATGTACATATTATGTATGTGTGTGTGAAAGCATTCGACTGAGAGCTGGCTGATCTATGTTAATCAGATTCATCTGCATACATAATAAATTATATACGTTTATATATATATATATATATATATATATATTTATTTATTTATATATTTATATATACATATATGTCTGTGTATATATATATTACGCAAGCAGCATTAAGTAATTGTCTGACTGTCGACTGATCTGAATGTGAAACTCAAAACTATATAACGAATAACGAATCATTTCATTAATGGCATTTTGGATAGCAGCAAATGTATGCAACAACAACAAAAACAAATCAGAAAAACAACAACAAGAACAACAAAAATGCAAATCTTACTACTTGTAATCCCTATATCTTGCAGATGTCGGAGTGCGTGAAATGGGGCAGCGTTGGCATGAATGCGGGCATGTTGCTGGTGCACAATAATAGGCAAAAAAACTATTCTCACTCAAAGTAACTAACACGAAATACACACACACACACAAATACACTCTCCACATATATGTGTGCACACACACACACACACAGCCACATACACATGCGTACATACTGCTTTAAATTGTTCTGCTGAAAGACAGAGAAACAAACAAAATCCAAAGCAAATTGTGATAAGATAATTCATGTTTAACAACAGCGGCGACAAACAACAGCAAATGCAAATACATATATTTATTAACATATGTATCTTCATTATTGAAAACATATATACATATACATATATACATATATACATATATATATATACATATATACATATATATACACATATATATATATATATATATATATAAAGAGAGAGAGAGCAGGCTCTAAAATTGTTACTTTTATTTCGTTAGCAGTATTAGAATAAATGATAAATTATATACAAACAACAACAAAGGTGGCCCAAAACAGCGTGCATTTCACTCACACACACATACACACACACACCCCGACCCACACAAAGACACCTGACTTTTGTACATTTTTGCTGTTGCAACTTGAGCTACAATATACACTTACATATGCAACACAAAGATGTGTTTAAAACAATACGAATTGTATTTCTATTTGTATATTTTGACAGAGAGAGAGACACACTGTGAAATTTGAAAAGACTTATTAACAATTTGTTGTTTTTTTTTTTTTTGGTTATTATTATTATTATAATTAAGATGATTATGATATCATTGTCATTAATATTATGTATTATGATAACTATTGATATACGCCTACTATATTAGATTATTATGTTGCAATAGGAATAAATAATATACAGGCACTCTAATTTCTTCTTTTTGTTTTCTTTTCGATGTAACGCAGTCGCAACACATTAATATTTCAAAAACAAATATATACTGAACAAAAATAAAAAAAAAAAAATAATGACGCGCATAGTGTTGCTCAACACCTTTTGTAGCATACTTTTGTGCGTCGCAAAATGAACGAAAATTCTTAAAATTCATCACACACGCACACCCGAATTCATCAAAATATACATACATTCATGCATTACGTGACGTAACGCGACGTTACGTAATTGTAGCTACAATCATGCAGTTAGTTTGTAAGTGAAATATAACCATAGATATAAACATACGATTGCATACAAACATGTGTACTTTTTGTTTTAGTCCCTTAAGCGATTTATAAAATATTTATATATAATATACCGATATACATACATCAATTTGGCAATTTTGAATATGAAACGTTTGTAAAATGCTTTATATTTGGATATTATTAAATGTTTATCAACGTACAAAAACAACTAGTTTTATTTCATCAATCACAAAACTTTTCCTTTTTTAATTCAAATTGCTCTCTATTTTCACAGCAGTTGGCAGATCATTTAGCAATATTCACAAATGAAAAATGCAAATCTATTTTGCATTGAATCGATTACAAACAAACGAAATACTAAATAAGTAAATGTAACTTCCAAGCGACACAAATTCCAATACCAAAACAAAAAAAAAAACAGATAATCTGTAAGGTAATACCCATAGTACCAACGTCGGTAATTGCATACCATTATGTGATCCGTTGGACTTTGATAATCATTATAAACCTTGTAAGTAATAATTCCTGTCGGAATATCTTAGTAAACAGATTCAGATAAGAATATTTTTGATACTTAAGATTTTCCCAAGATAACTTTTCAACTGGAATACTCCTCGCATCGGAACAGTCAGACAAATCGACTCGCTATTGATGATGATATACATATATATATATATTAGGTCGGATCGGGAAGAGTCCCCTAAATTATTGCACGCTTGCCTACAATATTATATTATATGCAATATATATTTGCGAGGGTATTGAATTGAATTGAAATAGAAAACACACCACACTAAACATCAAATACACCACACTCAACAGGCAACACACCAGAGTTGCGCAGATCTCAGAGCACAGGTGAAACTCACCTCGCGCAGCAATCCGAAGAGTACATCCGTTGATAGGGAACGCTCGTGCGCCTCGTCCATAATGATGGCCGCATAGCTGTCCAAGTCCGGATCGCGCAGGCTCTCACGCAATAGAATACCATCGGTCATATACTTGATGACGGTGCTCTCCGAGGTGCAATCCTCGAAACGGATCGCATAGCCAACATCCTCGCCTGCAAAATACGATTTGAATTATTTAGTTAGTTGAATTGAAATTGAAACCTTTGCAAGTTTTCGAAATGCTAAATTTGTTTATACATATGAAACTAATATATATTTAATGATAACTATCAAAAGAAAAGACTCAAGGTTATCAGATGCCAGAAGAATCCAGAGCAGTCGGCAATGGGAATATTAGATGAGGAAGGATCATTATCAGGGAGAAAAACTTCGATAGATAATTACATCCAACAGATTATGTATATATTATGTACGCATATATATATATATATGTATATATCTATATTGATTGACTGTACTGTAAACAGTACGCACCCAATTGTGTGTCCATTTCATCGGAGACACGCTTCGCAACGGACATGGCGGCGACACGACGCGGCTGAGTGCATCCGATCATGCCACGCTGACTGTAGCCATCCTCGTGCAGGTATTGGGTGAGCTGTGTGGTCTTGCCACTGCCCGTTTCGCCGACAATGATCACCACCGAGTTCTCCCGGATGACGTTCAGCAGCTCCTGGCGTGAGGCGAACACGGGCAGAAAGCGACGCTGTTCCCCAATCGTTTTCTTGCGCGAAAATTCGCTTTTGCCGCCACCGTTTTTGGTGTCCTGCATGTCGCGCATATGATCGGCGAACTTTTGATCCTTGCGATAGTCAGCGGTGTCATTGTCCTTATCATATTTGGCATCGTCCTCGTCCTGCGGCCGCTGTACACCCATAATGTTGCCTAGCTTGGTGCCGCCCAGCTCCCAGTGTTTCTTCTGCGCCTTGCGACGCTCCTTCTGCTCGCGATAGTTGCGCACCAGGGCGCTGCCTTTGCGCGCCAGCAGCGCCATATCGGAGGTGGGATCCTTGACGGGCACCACCGGCTCCGGCTGCTTTGTGAACACAATGCGACCATCCAAAAACGGCGGCACAATATGATGCACCAACAAATGGACACGTTCCACCGCCTCCTCATCGAAATCATCGCTCACATTGATCGATGTGACGACTCCCGAGGTGAGCATACGATTCCGCTCCCACAGCTCATTGTCCCGATTATTCTGGCGCTGTTGGGCACTGATGCGCTTCTTGCGCTTCTGCTCCAGCTGCTCTTCGCGGCGGCTAAAGTATTCGGCATTGGTGGTGCCACCGAACGGATTGTTCTCGTCGTCGTACCCCTCGTCAATGTTGTACCACTCGCGATCGAGACGCCGCTGCTCCTCCTCCCACAGATCCCGGGACTCGGCGTCACCTGTCCAGGGCGTGGCGCCGCTCCGCTTCCGATCGTGCATCCATTGATTGTAGCGATGAGCGGGCGTCGCACGCGTCGTATCATCCGCTGCATTGTGACTCCGGCTGCTGCGACTGCGACTGCTGCCACCTCGTTCCGACCAATCGCCAGACCCAGAACCGGAACCAGCGCCGCGTGGCGTTGGAAAATCCCAATCGGACTTGCGATTGCTGCTGCCTTCGGCATCGTCATCATCCCAGGAACTATTAGACACGCTGCCGATGCCGGCGCCACCACCAGGTGTGCCCGGCTCCCTGGGTGTATGCAAGCTGCGCTCGGACATGGAACGATCTCGGTCTCGATCTCGATCCCGGTCACGACGTCTAACGTCTCGTCCGCCGTAACGCTCCTGGTCTTGGTCGCGTGCCCGCTTGCGTCGCTCATCGCCGCGACGCTGTCTGTCCCGTTCACGCTCCCTATCGCGCTCTCTCTCGCGGTCTCGCCTCATCTCTGAGTCATCGCGCGACGATTTGCGAACGGCGCCCTTGTGGCGATCCCGATCTCGTTGAATGTGCTCGCGCAGGCGTTCGCGCGCCTTCTCTGATACGCCGCCCGTGTGCGAGGGTGTCTCATCCTTGTGCTCGCGCAGCTGACGGCTCAGCTTCTCGAAGCTTTTCGTGTCCGGCTTTTTGAAGGCGAACTCGCTGGCGTTGGGCGTTGTGGGCATTGTGCTGGAGGCTGTGCCACCGCCGTCGTCATATTCGCTATCCTGAAATGAGATCAGGCGTTCGGCTCTAGCCTTCTCGGCCCGTCGCTTCGCGGCCAATTTGTCGAGGCCCAGCAGGGAGCCCTGCGGTACTTTAAAGCTGCCGCTGGTGCAGCCATCCTTTGGCTTTTTGAGCACCAGGCCGCCGCGCAGCTCCTCGCCCGTGGTGCCCTCCAAGCGATGCACGCCTGCCTCATCATCCTCAGACATGCCAATATTATGCGTTTGTCGGGTTTTCTTTTGTTTAGCGCAAATACGTTCATGCGCGTTTCACATTAGAGCTGGCAAACTATCGATATAAACTGAGCGCACCGATAGCTATCGATTGCAACAACAATTGCAAAGATGCTGACTGCAATTATTACACGTTAAACAACTATAAACCAGCTAATTAAGACTAGTTACACTTTTATTAATAGTTCTTATTATGTAATATTAATATTAAGCTGAGATTAAGGTATACGATTTCCCACCTACTAAAAGACTATCGACTGCATTCCACGCCTAATTCATAGCACAGCTGAGCTAAAATGGTGTGGGCATTTTCATACACTATTACAAACGTTAACAAGTGCTGCATGCAATCTGGCAACGCGACACCAAATGGCGGCGAAAGTAAAACATCAAAGCTGGATTTAATGAGTTTAATCGTTTATTTTGAATTGACTTTGTATAACATCTTTAGTCTTTGTTCTCCACTTTCTCCGGCACCGTTTGCATTATCCACTTCAAATATGGCAGATTGCCTGCTTCTATTGGTAGGGAAATTACCTCGGGGACGCTATATGGATGATTCTCGCCCACAAATTTGCTCAGCTCGGCGATGCGAGTGGTGCGCGTCTTGATCATCATTAGGTATTCTTGGTCTTCGTTGATTTTGCCCTCCCACATGTAGATGGACTCGATTTTTCCGAGAATATTCACACATGCAGCCAATTTGCGCTCAATAAGGCCAAGCGCCAGTTTTTTGGCCGAATCCTTGTCCGGTACGGTTACAAACGCCACCGAGTTGGTCCCAGCGAGGTAGTCTGGATTACAGGCCTTGTCGCTCATTTTGTTGTTTTGCTGCGAATGAATAAATGCGCAGCCAGCACCGAATAATGATGATAGCGCGCAAGTCGCTGGGGCTGTTGCTACGGCAGTAAAAAATAACTTGCTAGTAAATTGGCAACAACAGGGCAGCGACCTTGCGTATCTCAGATATTGCATTAAATGTACTTTGCTCGGCCAGTGAAACGTCGCGAAATGCAATCAAAACAACTGTCGGCATACAACAATATATCGATAATAATACATCGATTGACCCACTTGCCGCTTATCGAGAATTTATTACTTTTTATGGGCGCCATTTTGAAAGCCCATCAGTTCAACTATTCAAATTTGTTGGCGCCAACTGCTAATCTGCATATACGAAACGAGCCGATATAGATATTATTATGTGTATATATATATATATATTTTTGCATGCAATTTGTTTAAAATATCTATTTTCAAGCTGACTTAATGTATATGGTATAGTATTTATCATAATCGCAAAAATCATTAAATTGATTTTGTAAAATGCCAAGGAAAAAAAAAAAGACAATTTATATATAATTTATAGTACTATTTTTTTCTGCTTAAATCTATGCTAAATGATGTTAGTGGTTTTTTGTATATTTTTTTTTTTTTTTTTTTGTGTTTTCTATGACATTTCGCTGTGCAGTAGTAGGAGCTATTTTACATCGAAGTGAGAGTTCATTGTCAGTTTTCAGTGTGAGGCGTGCCTTTCCCGGCCTGCCTGTCGTCTGCCCTTAGTCCGTTTCCTTTTTGTCAGATTCGAGTTTAGCTGCTGCTGCTCCTGTTGCTGCTGCATCGCTCGCTGTCGCTGCTGGCGGTGGTGGCGGCGGCGGCTGGGCAACGGGTGTACTGCTAGGCGATGGCGATGCCGCCGCTGCCCCTGACGATGCAGCCACTGCTGCTGCTGCTGGTGGCGCTGCTGCCGGTGCTGGTGCTGGCTGTGGTGCTGGTGATGGCTGCTGCTGCTGTGGCAACGCATGTGGCTGCTGCGGTGCTTGAGTTGGCTGCGGCTGTTGTTGTTGCGAGCCATAAAGAGCACCACCCACATTTACTGCTGATGATGCGGCGGCTCCTGCTGCTGCTGCCGCGGCTGCTGCAGCTGTTTCGTGTAGGTGTCCCGGCGGTGGCTGCTGCTGCTGTTGTGGTGGTGCTTGTTGCTGCTGCTGTTGTTGTTGTGGAGGCACAACTGTTGGAGCAGTGACACCAGCATGCTGCTGCTCCCGGGCGCTGGCGAAGTGCAGCGGCGTATAGGCTTGATAGGGCGGCAGGTGGGGATAATAGGGCTGCGAATGGGGTCGCGAGTGCGGCCCATGCCCATATTGCGGCTGATAGTAGTGTGTGTGCGTGTGCGAGTGTGAGTGCGAGTGTGAGTGCTGACCAGGACCAGGTCCAGCACCGGGAGGCCCACCATAGTTCGCATAGCCCATGTGCGGCAACGGTGGCGGCAAGCCAGGTATGCCACCAGGTGGTGGTTGTTGCTGTTGCTGGTGCTGCTGATGCGGTGGCATCGATGGATGCGATGGATGCGACTGGCCGGGTGATGGTGGTGGTGGTGGTGGCGGCGCCGCCGTCTGCGCTCCTCCTCCTGCAACTACGTGTGGATGTGATGGGTGCATTTGAGGCGCCGCTGACGCTGCTGCTGCTGCCGTTGCTGGTAGTTGCTGCTGTGTTGGCGGCGGAGTTGGCGTTGTTGCTGGCGGCTCGTTAGCTAGCGAGAGCGGTGGCGTTGCCGTTGGAGTTGTTGTCGTGGCCGTGCTTGGTTGCTTGCCAGACAAAGCGATCATTGGTGCCGCCGTGGATTTCAGCGGATCTTTCATTGGCTCAATTAGCTCTAATTTGTCGTGGAGCTTTGTTGAGGGCGGCGGTGGCGGCGGCACAGATAGCTTCGCCGATGGCTCAATATCCATGGGCTCCGGATCCGTTTTGCTTGCCAGCTCATGCACTGGCGCTGCTGGTGGCGGCGCTTGTGGTTGCGGCTGTACCGGCGGCGCCGGTGGCGGTGCAGCAACAACAACTGGTTGCTTGGCCGCCTCCGGTTTGGGTGCAGCACTCGCCTCGGGAGCCGCCGGCTGCTGTTGCGACGGTTGTGGCGGCGGCTGTGGCGTCTCCTCCTTGGAGCGATTGGGTGCATCCTCGATGCGTTGGCGATCGCGTTTAATGTCCTCATACATGCGATGCACCATTTTCTGAAATGTGTCCTCATCCACAGCAGGTTTGCAGTGGCGCTTGAGCTCTTCCTGGAATGCATCGCTGGACTCAAGCATACGCTGCTTTTTCGCCTCGAATTTCTCCTCCATCTGCTGCAGCTCGGCCTCTAGTTTCGTTTGGTGCATGGTTAGCGAGCTAACCTGACGCTTGAGCACCTGCATCCGCTGTGTGGTGACCACGGATCGCACATCGGGCACTACCGCCTCCGAGAAGATCTCGTTGATGAGACGATGATTTCGTAAGTAGCGTGCATACGCCATATGCTTGGCCGTATACCCCTCGTCAAGATCATCCTCATCCTCGGCCGGCTGGATGTCGATGCGACGCTCGTGTTGACTCTTGCTGCCACCGCCACGCGATGGCGTTTCATGGACATCGGTTATTTCGGGTTTGACCTTTGATTTGGCCGAAATGTAGGCCTGATAGGCGGGCGTTTGATGGTACGCCTTCAATGCCTTCTCGTACTCCAGTTTCTCCACCTCGTACTCATCAATATATTCGGTTTTCTCGTCATCGCCCAGCTGCTTCCACATGGCGCCAATCTTTTTGCCCAGCTCCCAAAGTTTTAGCTCCGGATGCTGTGCCTTGACACTGTCCCACACACGCTTTGAATACCGCATATATGGCAAAATCGGTTTCTCTGGCGGCTTCGGTGGCTTTGGCAAACGGGACTCGCTTTGCGTTTTATTGCTCGATGATTTGGTCACTTTCTGAGGGGTGAATGCTGGATTGCCATAGTTGCTGTGCGTAAATATTGGCGTTTGATCCTTATTACGATCGCCAGCAGCTCCGCCGCCTGAGGAACGCGATCGGCTGCTGCCACTGCCGCCGCCACCACCTCCACCTCCGCCAACGTTTGGTAGAGGAGTCGCCGGCCCAGTTGGCGCAATTTGCTTGTAGTTGCTGGGCAACGCCATGTTCAGTAACATAAATGTAGATTTTTATTCTTCACCCTTTTTCGTACAAACACAAATTGATTATATATATTTCAAGTAAAAACAAAAGAATGTATATACATGTATTAAATTCACGCGGACGCCATTGATAGGTTTTTCTCTATAGTGAAAATTGGCGATGACACACAACGCGTCACAACAATCGCTCGATAGATTTCTTTGAACTGATACTCAATACGTTTTGCAACACTAAATGTGGCATAAACGAGCAAAAAATAAAAAATTAATAATAGAAACCTCCAAATATTGCATTTTAACTGTAATTTATTATAATATAATTGAAAATTTGCTATTTGATAAAAATAAATAAATATATATTTTGGTGAACTTCTGTTGTGATGTTTTATCATTTATTTGCCAAGGTGGCAACTCACTCAGTCAGCTGAAATCTGAACTGAAGTTAGTTGGCAACTCTAGTTGCTCGTAGTCATATGTAAATAACTAATAATTTGGCTTGAGAGATGAATCGAGCGCGTATTTATTTGCGAGTTGCAGAAAAAGTTGTATACAGAAATCGTCACAGAAGTGTCTTTGCAATTAGGACTTATCTAAACAATGCGACTATTGCCAGCAACACCAGTCCGATATTGATAAAACCAATAAGCAGATTCTGTAGCAGCATTACAGAGCAGGAATCCTCGCTAGATAGCGTCACCTATGACCGTGTCTGTACCCAAACGTTGGATGCACTCTACGATTACATTGAAGAGCTGACTGAAAATGCCACAGATCTTGCCGGCAGTGATGTGGCCTACGGTGTAAGTAAAATGAGTCGCCTGCAATTTTACATTTGCGTTACATCATGCTAACATATGGTGTGCTTTGCTTTGCAGGATGGTGTGCTGACTGTGAATCTGGGACCAGCGAACGGTATCTATGTGATCAATCGACAGACGCCCAACAAACAGATTTGGCTTAGCTCCCCCACAAGCGGCCCAAAACGGTTCGATTATGTTTCCGGAGGCACAGATGCCGGTGAATGGATCTATAAGCACAGTGGTGAATCTTTGCATCAGCTGCTCCAACTGGAATTGGGAAAAATCTTTAAGGGGCAATCAGTTGATTTTCTGCAACTGCCCCACAGCCACAATTGACTCTGGTCAATACCAATATTTAGAATTTCGTTAGAATATAAATACTACATCGACATAAGCATTGTTGGCATGGCACAGCATGCTAGTCTGATTGTTAGCAATAAATAATTGATTTGTTAAAATAATAAATTAAAAATATTCAAATTAAAGCCACTTAGCAACTTTAGACTTTCCAGAAATTAGAGAATTGATTTCCAACTTTGCGACAGCAAATTGTATACCCTTGGGCACATATCCGACTCCATATATAGAGGCATACGTATATATTCTTGGTTAGCAAGATGCGCTAAATTGATAACTGAGGAAAAATTGGTCAAATTGATTTGTTTGTGTGTAGAAAACTATTTTGTCGTCCCCAAAAAGCTATAGCAATACCAATTCTCAACCTGAGTCATGATAATGATCCTTATAATTGTAACAACAAATTATTAACTTATATAACTATATATATCATACAGATCTATTAAATTCAGATGTGAGCTGCTGGACTCCGTTAGAAGCGTTGCAAAACATTATACAATTTGTCTTCAGAAAATATCACAATTTGAATATACTTGAATTTTTGTTTTCTTTTATGTAATGACCTAATTGTGGCTGAATCTTTATTTCCGTCTATTTACAGTCGTTGCTCTTGTTAGAAATGTAAAAAAGGAAATGCTTTAAAGTATCGACTTTAAATCAAATCTGTGGAACATGTCACTTTTGCCTGCCGACAGCTCAAGGACTTTGGAATATGATCTTTCAGTTTATTTCATACATTATAGATACATTTTTATTTTCATTGATATAGGTTGTTGTAATGCGGTGGATGTTGTTGCTGCTGCGACGGCATATAGTTCTGCTGATTATTATTATATGATTGAGGCGGTCCATTGGCCCAGGGATTCATTTGACCACCGTAGCCACCAGTGGGACCCATGGGTGGACCATAGGCATTAAAGTTGCCCATGTTGTAGGGAGGCTGCGGCTGCTGCTGTTGTTGTCGCTGTGGTTGCTTCGTCTGCTGTTGCGGAACGCCGGAATAGCCAGGCGGACCGCTCGACATTTGATCGGTACCATAGTTATAATAATTGCTACCACCATTATTGGGTCCAAATGGTGGCTGTGGTTGCTGCTGCTGTTGTTGCTGCTGCTGCTGTTGATGATGTTGTTGTTGTTGTTGCGCGCGACTTTGCATTAAGCTGGGCACATTGCGTAGTTGTTGCTTTTGCTGCTGTTGTTGTTGTTGCTGCTGCTGCTGTTGTTGTGTTTTGGCTGCGCTTGTTGCCTGCTTGCTGTTGCTGGTCAGCGTACCCATTAGATTGGCAATTATATTCTCTGTGTCCTTGAGCGAGATCTTTGGCGACGCCGGCTTAAAGGTCAGCGAATTGAGTGACGCAGATGCCGTCTGAATGGGCAGATTGCTGCCCATCATTATGGATTTCTTGCCATTTGAATCGTTGGCCTTCAGCACCAGATCATCGAAATTGTAATCATCATCGTCATCATCGTCCAACATAAAATTCGGGGAGTTGCGCATAGCGGGACGTCGTTGCAGCTTCGCTGGCGATGACTGTTCGCGTTCGTTGCTCGCTTCGTTGCGACGCATTGTCGCCACGGCCACCGCCGACGACGACGTGGGGGGGGCCAGACGAGCGTTGGAGGCACCACGGTCTGTACGCTCGTGACTGTTGCCGGGCGGACGGCCGATGGCAACGACACGCGATAGATAATCGCTGCACGATTCACCGTCGCTGCTGAGCTCAGCAATGTTAACATATTTGCGCAAACGTTCGACACGCGGCGGGTCTAGTTTCTCCAGTTTGCGCAGATGGCCGATGAGATGCACCTGCTCCTCGTTGGAGAGAAACTTAAAGTTCTGCAGCAGCGTCTGCAAATCGGAATCTGTTAGGGATTCAATGCCTTGATTGCTGGCATCGCTGATGCTGCTGGCTTTGGACGCCACACTGGTGCCCGAATCCTTGGCGGCGAGCTGATGCTCCAACTCCTTGATCAGTTTAGCGACGTCAATGTCCAGATCATTACCAGCAACAGTCGCGTCCTCATCATTTGTCGCCCTGCTCTTAAGTCCCAGGCGAATCGGGACCTCGGCAAAGTTGAGGCCGCTATTACGATCGGTCTGGCGTCGCGTGTGATTCGTCTTCACCAGCAGCGTAAAGAATTGCAGCAACCGGTTCATATCCTCCGTATTTAAGTCATCCACGCCGTTCACAATCAGTGCGCTTGCCAATTTCGAGGATACGAGCTGCCGGTCGAAGGGTAGCTGGAACTCCTTCTTTTTCGTGGTCAATTCGACGAGCTTCGACTCATTCTGTGTCAACTTGTCTGTGTGTGTGTATGTGTGTGTGTATGTGTGTGTGTATGTGTGTGTGTGTATGTGTGTGTGTGTATGTGTGTGTGTGTATGTGTGTGTGTGTGTATGTGTGTGTGTGTGTATGTGTGTGTGTGTGTATGTGTGTGTGTGTGTATGTGCGCGTGTGTGTGTGTATGTTAGAGGGAGGAAGATGGATGGAAGGAGCAACACAATAAACGACATTAATTAATTTATTATTACAATTGATTGTTGTTCTCAATCTAAAATTAAAGCAATTACATACGACAAGGATTACATACAATTCAAAACAGTGAAGAAACCGGCGCTTCCAGCAGTTGGATAGTGGTCACTTAACCAGGACGACACGCATGCGTCTATTTGTATATATTTTTTATTTTCTTTTTTTTCTCTCTTTTTATTGTTGTTTTTGTGGTATATCCATTATTTTCGGCACTTTTTGCACAAAACTAACATCTGGGGACGCTGAACCCACAGTTAAAAGTAATAAAAAATGAGGCAATTACTACAACAAAAAACCGGATAAAAAAAATACCGAACCGACAACTTGAGAACTCTTTTTTGGTGGATAAGAGAACGGAGAGTTGTAGTTGGAAACATTTTAATTATATCTATAAAATATTGTATGTATTTTAGAATACTTTAAGCGGTACTTTCAAGGGCGAGTTTCGCAAGAGTAATTGGATCATAAATAATAGTACTCCCCGGTTGGTCATAAATTAAAATTACAACTTCACATTAAAAGAAGTTACAAGAAGGTTAACAAGCGAAATATACATAATTGTATTTGTTCAAACGCTTTTGACAACATTTTCTCATTTAAAATTTGCATTTAACGATATGATAAAGTGTTCTTAACAGTCGAACGTCGACTTCCAATATTATCCAAAATTCAGCCCTTATGCCAGAGTCTTATCCTAATAAGTATATGAGTTAAAATGTAGGTCGGCATTTTAAGGAGCAGTTTTTTTTTTATGGATAGGTTGAAAAAACAACTGATGTGGGATAAGCATCGTAAAGAATCCAAAGTACACGGATTGTGAAAAGATTGGATGGTTTGTTTATAAGGTAAGATAAGCACCAGGATAGATAACACGCGAAAGCACGAAGCGGGATAATAAGTACGAGCTCTGAACCGTATTTTGAACTCAAACGCACACACACAATGAAGGAAGGAAGAAAGTATCAAACAGATCAAACAGATCGCATACACTTATGGCTAAGAATATTTGTGACATGACTAAGGATGGCAATTGGTCCCAAGTAGGACAAGGATTACGGTTACGGGATGCCATTAGTTTTCTTTATCCTTTGGATCCTGCTTCACAAATAAACTACCAAAATATGCACAGCTGTCGAAGTGCCCGATTCCAACCAACATATACAGACAAATACTTACCCCGGCATATATATATATATTTTTATCTATATCTATATATATATGCATTGGAGTTGGTCTAGGATCTGAAAAGTTGCAAAGCTTTTGAGTTTTTATTGTGTTGCACTTACGTGTTCTTGTGCTCTGGACGACGATGATCGCAATATTGCTGATTAACTTTTTCACAACGCGCACTTTTTGTGGATCATCGAGCACTTCCGCAATGAGAATGCCCTTTAGCTTCTCCTTGGTGGTCTCCAGGAACACACAATTGTCCTCATTCAATAGCAAATCATCGGCGGCATTCGGCTTGAGCTTCTCCATGGCCAGTGCCTTGCTGAGCAAATTGAGCGCCTTGGGGCCGAGGCTGCCCAACTGAGCCTCCAATGCGGATAGCATGCGCAGCACACTAACCACCGTCAGTGGACCTTCGGTCGCCTCTTCAATGGGTTCCGCATCTTTGTTGGCCGCACCCGTCACACTGGTGCTCGTTGGCGATGAGGAACGTTGACCGCCGCCGGGCTGACTGTATTCCGGATACGAGCGCGAATCGAGCACACGGAACGTTTCCATGGGCTCGTAGGTGCGCGCGGAACGCGTATAACTATCGCCACGCTCCCTGTAGTAATCCTCGTTTCTATCGCGCCCCCTCTCCCTCTCCCTCTCTCTATCCCTATCCCGTTCCCTCTCTCTGTCCCTCTCCCTCTCCCGATCGCGCTCACCGTAATCGTCGTGGCCTCGCGAATGTTGCGACCTGTCACGCCCGCGGCTATATGGCGAGCTCGAGCTACGTCGATGCGACGAGCGCGATCTGGAGCGCGTGCGCTGCCGGCGCCGGGAGGTCCCTGAGGAGCGAGACCGCGAACGCTGACTCATGCGCGACGACACCGGTCGCCGTGCACGCTTTGGCGACAACGAGCGTGACAATGAGCGGCCATACGGTGGACGGCGTGTGGGACGAGCCGAGCGTCCACTCGGTGCCTGCTGATCATCATCGCTGATGTTGATCACAGCATCTGGCCCGACGGTGGTGGATCCGTTGCCGCGATTGTTGGATCCGCGATAGTTGGGCTTGCGGCGCACAGCAGCATTCGTCGAGGATGATACGGTGGCGGCGTCGGCGGATGTAGGTGGATCGCCGCTTGTGATTTTGGGGCTGTTGATGCGTATTTTATAGCGTTCCATGAGCTCCTTGGTGTTCTCTTCGTCCTCGTCGCCCAGCTTGAATTTCTCCTTGAGCTCCTTTTTGATCTTGTTGACGGCGATGTTGAAGAGCTCCACGCGTCGACCTTTCCAATAGCTAATCCAGTCGGGCTTGTAGTCATAGCTATTTGGATCGCATTTCTTCTCCTCCTGCAGCTCCTTATAGCGTCGAGTCCAGAACAGTTTCCATTCCTCGGAATAATCGGGATGCTTCTCCGGATTCGTTTCATATGTTTCCGTTTCATCGCGCAGCTGCTTCAATTGTAGCTCCAGCAGGCAGCGAAACTTCTCCCATCGGTATCGCTCTTGTGCAATTTGCGAAGCCTGCAATGACAGCTCTTTGGGCGTTGGTAGCTGCTGTTTGATGCCCAGCCCTGCCCCCAATTTTGGCTTGCCACCGCTTGCCTGGGTGCTCTTCTCGTTGGCTGCAGGCGGTGAGCGATTAATGGCACGATATGCCGGCTGCTGTTCATCCTGCTTTTTTCGGGCCTTCTTGCCGGAAGACTGCTGATGCTGCTGTTGCCGTCCCGTTAGTGGGGCAAAATTCTCATCATCATCACTGGAAATGGCATCCAGGGCAATTGGCTCGGCATTACCTTTATTTAAGTTAAGCGTGACTTTCAGAGTTTCCGTCGGCTTGGACTCGAGAATCATTTGGCGCACCTCGTCCACGAAATCAGGTCCGGCGCATTCATCATAATGAAATTTATCGCGTACCTGTGAACAAATTTTTGCACGACTACGACGAAAATCATCGCCAGCAACGGCCAAGATTTGCATGCTGCGTCCGAAATGCGTCTCGATATGTTGGACCAACTTGTTGGTGCCATTGAACATAAGTTCGTTGGAATTGCCCGAGGAGCGACGCAGCTGCTGCAGCAGGTCGAAGGCCTTCTGAAAGTGCGTCTTCAGATAGTTGGTGCGATGCGTCAATGACGTCCAGTGTACAAATATGGAGCGGCAATCGTTGCACGTGTTGCACAGCACACAAAAATAATCGGGAAGCTTTTGGCCATCCTCGTGCAGCTCGACAACATATTCGGTGCCGATGAGGGCGCCGCCTTTGTGGCTCTCAATTAACTTCAGTATGACCGCCGTGCGCGACATTTCATCCTCGAAGCCGGGCGGAACGGGCTCGCCAGTTAAAAAGTTCATATCAGATGTGGACGAATCTGCAAAAGGGCAGCGATTGGTTTCTCGATATCTAAGAAGCAGAGATAGGCGCGTGTCACGATATGAAACACACACGATTCAACAAGGATCTACATATCACTCACGAATCTATGTATACTCAACATGGACTATGCTAACCGATTAGTTATCGACTTATCGCAAGTAATTGCGACTAGCAAAAAGCTCTCTACAAACAAAGAAAAAATGCTTGTTGCTAGATCTGCTAGATCCTGTTGATGCTGCTGATGATTATAACTGCATATTTAGCACACTTTATTTACGTTCGAGCACATAATCTAAATGGCAACAGCTGTTTAACACATAATCAAAAAATAAGCATACATGCATACATATGTACATGTTGGTATGCATGGATTTTAACATATTTGAATTTTAGAACTTTTTGCATAATATAAGCGATGTTAGTAATTGATGTTTATTGTATATATTCAATGTTTTTGCACTTTGTGCATTAGCCATGCCATGTTGCGTATCCTTGTTGAATAAAATTCGACATGCACCCATCTCTAAGGCGAAGCAATAACGCCGACTACAAAAATTACCTGGCCTTCACTTTGGAAGTGGAGTGCCCCCCTCCTCTTGGACCGTTTTCGGCGACACTTTGCAGTTGTATCTATGCTATTACTTGCACTGATTTGCACACGAGAAGAAATAGACAAATATGCACGTACACACAGGCACATGCACACACGCACACACACGAAGAAATGCACTTACAAATTCACAGTGGCCGCAAGAAAAACATTCGATTTCATCCCGCACGCTCTGGGAAGAGTGTTGTCATGTTCATTTCTTTACTTACAGTGCTTATACAGTTATACAGTTGCTCACTTGTTCCCAAAAAATGATTTGCAGGCACTAACAACTAAGCGCACGCCAAGTTTAACCATATGTATATTTGACACAGTGTTGGGTCATTACGCATCGATATTGTTGTGCCATAATTTATCGCATAGTCACATTTTCGATTATAAGTTATCGCAAGGGCGGGTCACGAAAAAATTTGAAATTATATATCGGTATATTCACTGTCAAAATGTGTAAATATACATTTATAAAAAAAATCATTTGAATAAAGTGTAGAAAATAATAATAATATTAAAACGATTTATATAATCTGACACCGAAAGTATCATAGTATATTGGTTTGTGCAATGTCCGTCATGCTGTCTGTTTATCGGTCCGTCTGTATGAACGCAACGATAATCGCAGATCGACAATATCACATATCTCCTACACTTAATTTGACTAAGGGTTCAGTCATCAAATTAGGTTGGTAGGTTGTTGGCGATGTCCTTCAAAGATCGGCATATGCCATGGCCTCCTCCGCTTTCAAATGCGAAAGGTATATTGCTGGTAACACCATTCAAAAACTGGAAAAAAAAAGTTGGACCACGCCCCCTCTCCCCGCATAAAGTCTAAAAGCCTATATCTGCCACAATTTAAGAGCTACAGTTACCAAACTTGGAAGGAAGATTACTAGGAACCTTCTCTGATATTTTTTTTAAGACACGCCCACTCCCGCCCCAAAATTCTCACAGCCGTTATTTCCCGTATATTACTAAGAACTAAAACCACCAAAATTCTCAATTGCTTTTATCTTCTGCAATTTTAGAGCTATGGCTACAAAACTTGGAAGGAAGATAACTTGAAAACCCTTCCAAACATTAATATTGGCCACTCCCGCCAGCAGATGGTATGACTTATTTATATCCGAGTATTTCGCAGTCGGTTACGCGCGACTGAAAGTCTTGTTTCTGTTAATTTTATAAGCTTGTAACTATACTTTATGTTGATTGTAGATGTTCTATGATTAAAAATATATTGCGTATGTAGTTTCCCTAATTGCGTAGGAAAGTTAAGTTTCTTGAAGTACAGTGTACGTAAAAATATCACGATGAGTGGGATGCTCACTGCTGAAATTTTTAATTCAGTTATTCATTAATCAAGAACAAAAATGCCGCCACATGTTGTGAATTGACTTTCCCTCTGACCTGGCCCGCACCTGCTTGAGGCTACGTTTCTAATTTATATAATGATAGCTCTATGACATTTTGATGAAGCTGCTGCACTTGAGCTTGAGCTTAGGCTTAACTCCGTCCCCCTACCGACAGTGAAAACGCGTTAATGCCTTCGAGCATTCAGTATTATGTGCTATATATGTATACATTTTGGCATGAAAACCACCACGGCGGACAAATAGCAAAAAGTGTGGCAGGAGATGCACGTCCCAAAACAATTTCGCACCCACCCTACCATAATGAAAAAGGGCCGGCAACGTGTGCTGTGATAGATGTGGCACGCACGCACACATACACATATACGTACATACATTCACTTCTGAATAGAAGAGAGGCATTAATCGCTACATGATGATGATAATGGCAATATAAGCGACTACACAATGAGCTGACCATATGTGCACATAGACAATCAAATGTGAAACTGGTAGAACTGGTGCAACATCAGCAGCAGTAGCAGGAGCAGCAACAGTTCAAGGAGCAGGGCAGAGCAGCAGCAGCAGCAGAAGCACCAGGACCAGACGGGTGACCAGCCAGAGTCAGTTCACATTTAATGAACACAACGGTGACATGAGTTATGGGCCATTTTTCTTCTTTTTTTTTTTTTTGGTTTGACAACGAAAAATTGCGAATCAGCACAGCTGTTGGAGCTGCGGTGTGGTGAGTGCGTAATGCGACAGGGAGGGGTGGGGAAACAGCAGCAGCAGCAGCAGCAACATCTATAACGGCGGCATCCTGACATCGGCATGAATGCAAATGCTATTTTGCATTAACATTGCGAATGAACATGGGGCATCCCAAAAACCCAGCCAACCAGTCAGCGAGTCCATTCGCGCCACGGCAGATGAAGATGAGCACATTCCGATTACGGTGCAAATGCAGACACAGAGGGAAGACGACAGTGACACCCCTTCAGATACGGATTCGAAATCGGAATCGGAATCAGCTTTAGATGTGCACGATATGGGCGCATAATGTGTTTTAGACAAAGTGGCAGACGCAGACATACAATGTACACTTGTACATATATACATATATATACATATGTATTGTATCTTGTTCATACACTACAGACTCAGAGTCTACTTTACTTGCTGTGCCCCACGAGCCTCATGGAGTTGTATCCACGTAATAAAGTCGCTGGCTATCAGGTGAACATTAATCGAACATTTTCTAACAAATATTATCTGAAGAGAAATCAAAAAAAAAAAGGGGGCAAAAATGGTGGCAAGGGTTCCTAATATGATAAGATCGACAATCGATCTAGCGGTACGCAGTCCTTTGAATATTCGAAATGTACTTTAATTTCGTGAAAAATCATCAATTTATAGACTGGATAATATTAGTTGTGTATACTTATAACGTCGATTTTTTTTCTACAAATTTGAGGCTTAAAGAAAATGCAGTCTTCGGTGTGATGACAGTTGAATTTTTATTTCTTTGTATTTAATTTTTGTGATGCATTCTAAAAGAAGAAATGTCTTGGCAAGTTGTGCGCAATTCATTAAGCGAAATCTGCCCGAATGCGAATAATGCAAATTGCTCTATTTCGGGCTAACTGCAAACGGCAAACGACGACAAATTTATTTGCGGCCCATGTGGCAAGTAAGAAGGAGCCATCGCCATTGCCGTTTCCATCAATGAAATGAAATGAATGCCGTATTTTTTGTATATACGCTGAACCCTGAATGGGCAAAAAGAGTGTAATGGTTTTGTGCAAAAGTATGTAACAGAAGCAGAAGCAGCCATCTGCGACCCCATAAAGCAAATATAATCTTGATCGGATCGATAACTGATACCGATTCGCGAATATCGATACATATCGATTTCCGATAACAATCAAAGCCACAATTTTATAGCTGATATATAAAATATGTTGACATATTATTGATTAACTGCACAAACTTTTCAGTTTTTAATTATAGTCTTATCGATCTTCTAAGCCTGCGTACATTTGAGTTTGCAAATCTTGTTGAAGGGAAATTTGTCAATAAAACTATATTATCATATTTAACAGCTGGGTGCGGGTATCTCGTAGTTGAGCTCAAGCTTATACAACATTCTGACTTGCTTTTTCTTGCAGATTTAAGCATTTGCACCGAAAGTTCAAAAATTCCATTAATTATTCTGTTGAGTTCTGTTGTCGTTTCGATCTTACTCGGTTTGAGTGCTAATTTTGAAGAATTTCAAATTTCTTAATGGGTTCGCTGTATCCTCTCAGTTGCCCCTTTGGTGATAGTTTGCCTGTTATCTTGGGCAAATAGAGTGAGAGAGACGGAGTGAGAGAGGCGGAGTGAGAGAGAGGGAGCAAGAGAGAGAGAGAGAGAGCTGCTTGACTTTGGTCTTCTTTGTTTCCCTAACCCCTTTCATTTTTGTTGTTGTAATTTTTTCATTGTTGCTCATTGCTCATTCCCATGCATCCCTATGCGCCCCAGCCCACCCCTTGCATGGACCGGATATGCTCATTGTGCGTCATTTCAACTTATCACCCAGGGGAATATGCCACTAGCCGGAAGCTCTCCATTTGCCCAGATGCAGCTGGTGTCAGTCCCACTCCCAGTCCCATTCAGAGTCCCAGTCCCAGTCCCACTCCCAGTCCCAATTCCAATTCCAACTTTGCCGCATGCTTCAAAAATGCGTAAATCAAACTAAAACAAATGACAACCGGCTTGCCATGAATTAGTATTAGTGTAAAACGGCTTTTAATAAGTCGGACAGTTGGCCCGCATCTCTCTATGACCACAACATATGAGTGTTGGGGTTGTGGGTTTGGGGGGGTTGTGTCGCAGTTGGGGCATCCGCAACGACAAAGTCAATTGCGGTAGCCGCAAAATGGAATTTTGTTTTAAAAAGTTCTGCACTACAAAATGGCTCACAATGGGCGCATAAATTTCAAAGTACTTTTTTTATATTTTGGTCTTTTTTCTTCCCATAATCTTCGTATAGAGGGAGGGGGTCCTCCGGAGAGAGAGAGAGAGAGAGAGGAGCGCATAAGTTTGGCAACAATGCAACATATGCTAGAATATATGAACGTTCTGAAACTACTAATTTGAATTAAATGCGGTATTTGTATTTGCATATATCATTTGACGGTGGGCTTTTAAATTGTTACAGCCGTGCCTGACAAACATAACTCAAAAGTATTTGCAACTATCCAACCGAAAACAAGTACATAAATTAAAAGTAAGCCAGACAAAGGTCATGTCGTTTTTCAAGCAGGAACGCTCGCTAATCTGATGGCTATGAAGATGAGCTGCTCACATGTATGCTATGGCTACTCCGACTCGCCTAATGACGCTGATCCAGATCTACATATATATATATATAGATATATATTAACATAGATATATACTTTGTGGGTTGTGTGGTTAAATATTGTTTTTTAGCGCATAAAACTTGATAACAAATTATGTGAGCCATATGTAAACCTTTTTACAAGTATTTATGAGTGTGTCAGACTTTTGTGCCTTGCATGCTTAGATAACTGATCTATGTGTGTTGTTGTTTCTTTGGCTTTGCCAATTCAGACATGCAACATGTTGCAATGAAGCTATAAGCCAGGCCCCAAATTTTAAACTTTGCAGACGACTTATATAAGAAATGTACATACAAATATAGCTGTTGTATGGTGGTGCAAAGAAGTTGCTGCAGGGTGGGGAAGGGCGGGGGTCGCGCGTGTGAGGGCAGCATGCCAAATGGAAAAAAGTTTTTGCCTTAATTTTTGCCGTTTTCATTTTTTTGTTGTTTTTTTTTTTTATTCAGCCGTTTTTATTAACGTTGCCTTGTTTTTGGCAGGGGTGACCTGTTGGTAGAGCAGGGGGGTGGTGGAGTAGGGTGTATAGGGGCTGTTTGTTTACTGGCAGCAGCGCAGCAAGTAATATTTTTGCCGCATAAAAGTCAAAATATGCAAATAAAGCAGGCTCTTCTTGTTGTCGCTGCCTTTGCTGCTGCTGCTGCAGGGAGATGGGGTGGGGTGGGGGGGGGGGGTGTAGAGGGGCAGCTAATACAGCAGCAGTCAGAGGGACAGACAGACAGACACACAAACGATGAGCTGTGGCTAGAACAATGTGCATACAAGGAAGGCAGCGCGAGGATGGTGCTGGGTGCAGGGGGGGGAGAGCAACGCTGGGCGAAAGAGAGAGTGAGAACAGCGTGGCTTAAATAATAAATGTAGTACACGCTTTGAAAGAATTTACTATGCTTTGGCAAATGGAAGTTATAAAAACCAAACACACACAATCAGACACACACACATTCACATACAAGCACATGTGCATGGCATATAAATAAACAATGCCCTTATATAACCCCAGGGCAGGACGGAGAGGGCAGTGGAGAGAGGTAGCGGCATTTCCATATTGTTGCTATAATCAGCGGCTGCTTTGATTCATCTGCATGCACGCGCGATGCCGGGACATTGAAGCGGAGCCATCACCATCGCCATCACCACTACCACCGGAGTCTAAGCCATTGCCATAGCCCATAGCCAATGCTAAATCCATAGCCATTGCTAAATCCTTAGGCCCGGTGTGCCACCACCCCAACAATATCATCATCAAAGTCAACCCAACTGGGCGAAGCGAGCAACCAACCAACCACCAAACACAGACACACACAGACTCCGTGACTCCGTTGGCCCAACTTTAACTCCGACTTTTTGCCGTGTTCATGCAATTTAGATCTGGCGCCGGGCTCTCAATTCGAAAAGCACGAATCGGCTTGAGCACGAGCAAGGCAATACAAGTGGACGACAATCTCAGTGTGTAGTCCATCATTTATTAGCATCATTTTAAATGAATATCTTGAGTTTATTTTTTTAGTTATTTTACATACATTAACTTTAATAAATATTGTATTTGCCTATTGCTTCTTCTATATATCATTAAAGTCACGATCACGCTAGCATTACTAATGCAATTCAAATTTCGTTTCGAACATGTTCGCGTTCGGTGTTGGATCTCGTGTTCGAGCAACAACCACTGACTGACGCCCCTTTCGAGTATGTGCGGCCAGTGCTGTAAAATCTTGCCATTGTCTCCCTAGCTAAACTAGCTGAAAAAGACTAAGCAATTATTACCAATGTAGCTACAAATTGACATTGAATTTATATTTCCATGTTACACGTGTTGTTTTAATTTTTAAATAAATGTCTATATAAAGTTTAAGACAACTGTATTGCTTCAACTGGATAGCTGAGCAATTCAATCAAATAACAATAAGCGATTTAACAATGTCAAACCATCGATTTCAATAAAGAAAAAGGAGCATTAATCAATTTTGCAAAGCTTACATAACAAATACATACATAATAAAAACATAAATAGTTCTCTTCCTAAGAAATTATAAAATTGTAAATATAAATATAAAGTTTCCAATTGAAGATGATAGCTAAAATTTAGCCATTTTCTAGCTAAAGCAGCTGCGAGTGTAGCAGCCCTTTACTCTGCTCTCTGAACACTGTTGTGTGCTGTTCATGTGTCTGTGGCTGCGCGCGCGAGTTGTGTCTGTGTGTGTGTGTGTGCGTGTGTACTTGTGTGTTATCTCGCAGCCTGGTTCTGGTTCAGTTTTCGTTTTCCGTTAGTGCAGCATTTATGCTCGACGAAGTTGGTTGGTTTTGGCTTCGCCCTCTGCCATTTTTATATTCGTAGTCGTCGTTGTTGCCGTCGCCGTCGCAGTCGATTGTCGCCTAGCCGCTGGTGTTGTTATTTTTTTGTGTGTGTTGTTTTTTCGCTGCCGCTCTTCTGCTGCTGGCTGCTCCTCTTGTGTTGTGTTGTGTGTGTGCACGTTTTATTTATTGTTGTCGTGTTGTGTTGTTCGCTTGTGCTTTTTGTTATGGTGCCCAATGCCAACTTACCTGATATCGCACAAATATAACTCACAAACAAGGTGCGCAGCCACTGGACTCAGCTTCATGGCTCACGTTCTTCTTCTTCATTATGCTGTTGTTGTTGTCCTTGCCTAACAAACAAACTAACCAATAACTAAATCATAAACAAACAAACAAACAAAACGAAAAAAAGCTAAACGCCTGTGACAGTTTTCCTCTCGCTCTTTCGCCTCCTTCGCTTTCGGCGTGTATCAAGCTCAGACAGCATGTGCGAGCTAAAGCTTTTCGATTTAGTCCAGTTATTGTTATCGTTGTTGTTGTTGTTGCTGCCGCAATAGGCAGTCGCCAAATCACACACACACACACACACACACACAAGAACAACAAACAACAAATAACAAACAACAAAAACAGGAAAACAAACAACAGAAATACAATACACACAATAAAACGCGCTGAGTGCGCTGCTTCACTAAATGCAGCCGACGTCAGCGTTGACGTCGCTGTCGTCACAGTCGTCGCGAATTATGGACCTAACCAAACAGCAACAACAACAACAACAAAAGCAGCACTTGATACAAAAATAAACAAACAAAATCAATCAATTAATCAATCTGTGAAACACGCCCCAGGCGTACGTTTACGTTAACGTCTACGCCCACACTCCCCGGCCACGCCCACGCTCAGAACGCCCACACGCACTTCAAACTGCAAGCAAAAGAAGAAGAATAACAAGACGAACAATAAGAAGAAGAAGAAGAATGTTTCAGTCAATTGCACTAGTTCTACTCCTAGCTGTGGCCCAGTCACCGAAGGATGCGAATGCGGACACAGATGCAGCAGCAGCAGCATCATCAGCCGCAACAACGCTATTCGGCAGCAAGCAACTAACCAGATGCCGCCAAAGCTGCTATCAGCAGGTAAGCCCCGGTCAGGCCACTAAAGATAAGAGTCGCACTTGATGGACACTTGTATACAACAACAACAACAACGCTCAACTGAGCAAGAGAGGTAACTCTCTCCCTCCCTCCCCCTCTCTTTCTCTCGCTGTGAGCTCAACTTCAAGGTTAGAGCCGTGCAGCCAAGAAAAAGTTATAGAGTTGCACTTTCTAGTTCAATTCAGTAGTTCATTTTTGTTTACTGAACGAACGCTCATCCAATTTCCATCATCGGTTAGTTGTATATCACTTGAGTGCAGTTCAGTCCAATTCAGTTCACTTTATTTCAGTTGAGTTATTCAATTAAAAGGAGATTTCATAATAATGCTATGCTGCTAATGTATCTGTTATTTGGACCATGTTTGAATTGATTTGGTCAAACGAACGACTCGCTCGGAACGACTTGGTACACCTCTAAGTGTCCAGTACGGCAATGACAATGGGCACAGACAGCATAAGCAAAGAGAGTGGGAATGGGGAAGGGGAAGGGCAAGGGGACGGGGATAGGCAACGGGAAAACGTTCTTTTATTTTTAATGTGGCTGCCCGCCTTTATCTGCTCGCTGACATCGCTGTCGCTGTCGCAGTCGCAGGCGTTGTCGTCGTCGTTGTCGGGGCTTCTCAGGTAGCTGCTGCCGCTGTCAGTTGACAATGTCAGCTGGGTGGTCCATGCCAGTCATAGCGCTGCTAATAGAGATTAGGCAGTGTTGGTATGGGTAGGGGATGAAGCAAGGCAAGCCTCAATTGGGTGTGTTTCCCCAAAAACAAAAAAGAAAACATAGTTTGAGGCGCATTGCTGAACGGATTGAGGATTGAGTTTACAAACTTATTCAATTAAATGACCATAAAAAGAAGCTAGAGGTATTTCAAAGATTTAATCCAAGCAATATCCATCCATTCGGAAGGCATCAATATTATCAGTAACAAAAACAACATTGTAGAACATTTTCAGAGCATTGGAAAATAACGTGGTTTCTACACTTGGATAAGGTAAACTGTCCCAAGTCTATGCTCGATGAACTTCAGAGATTAATGCAAAGTTCCAATCTGTAGTCAATTTTATCCTCCCAGTTAATTCATAACTAGTGACTAGTGACAAGTGTCATAAATTAAAGGCTATAGCTTTCAATGCGCCAGCATTACAAATGTTAAATCGCTTTTTTATTTTGGACTTAGTTAAGACTTGAGATTGATTACTTAGAAAATGCATCTGTTGGATACATAAGTCTCTGTCGAAACTAATCTTAAATTTATGTGGCCTGTCTAAATGAACTAGTGTTGTAGATTCTAGATTACTGTCTCATTCAAATCTGATACATTTTATATATATTTGTTGCACTTTTAATTTATAATTTGTCTTTATTTAACTGATATATCATCTAAATTGAGCTTATACAGTTTCAACTCGCCCCTTTAAAGCGATAACGAGCATTGATTGACGATTTTTTAAATCGCTTGCGAACGTATTTAAGCCCTTTTTGGCATTTGGAATCAAAAGTGGTGACTTCAATTCATTCATTGAATTCATTTCGGGAATCGATGGCGTTTTTCCCATACGAAAAACGTTGTTCAATTTTGTTCCGTGATCCATCTGGCGTCACAAATGCAATCCGTTGACCCTTAAGGGTTGTCCCCTGCATTCAAAGGGATGCTGCTGCTGCTCCTGCCACTGTATGCACTGAGGCTAATTTCACGCCAGTCCGGATCTAATCCCCGGCACAGGCCAGCAGCCCACGAACGTCGCTCAATCAGCGCCAAATTAACACCATAAAAGTTAGCAGCATCCAAAGACTTTGTTCCTTTGACTTTTTTCAGGGGTTCGGGGGGTGGGGGTGGTTGTACGTGTGTACAAGTGTGTGTGTGCTTGTGTGTGTGTGCTTGTGTGTGTGTGTGTGTGTCGTAAGAAATCGTCTCTGTCTCTGTCTCAGTCGAATACGTAATGCCAGATGCGTATGCCCAGCACGTATTCTTTTGGCTGGTGGTGGAATCTGTTTCGACAGGGGCTTCAATAATTGACAAGCGCAGCATTTGGCGACTACGTGCCACTGTTCTCTGGCCACTGTCCATTTGGGCAATAGGCCATTGGCATTGGTTGCTGAGACGGCAGCTCATAAAACTGCTCAAAACTGACCTGGATGGGTAATTTATGTGGCCGGGTCTGGCCTGGCATGGCCAGGTCTGGGTGTGAAGCGTTCTCCAATTCCGTGGGCAATTGCATATAAAAGTTGTCCGCTGCCTGCGTTTAATTTATATAGGCCAACAACTATGCCAGGTAGGCCACAAGACATACAAATAAATGTGTGGACAGGGGTAGGCCAAAGGGAAGGGATGAGACGGTAGGGAACGGGTCAGGAATATGTCGACTGAACTGGACTCTGCCTGCTCAGCGTTTCCATTGATCGTGTGCAGCGTTTGGTTTTCATTGCCAACGAAAGATGGCCGCGTGACTCACGAGTCACGATTTACGACCATTCTGGTTAGGGTTATCTCTGTAAAAAATCGATTAGATAAAGCTATTAAATATAGCGGCAAATCGGAGAAGTTGTTCAGCTGTTCACTTTATAATTGGGTAGCTGACGATTTCAAACCAATATATATTCAAATAAATTGATAGCAATTATATAATATTTATATATAACAATTAACATTCAATATTTCTCATTCGCTTTCAATAGCCATTCTTATTAATATATATACACAGATTCATTTGAACACACTAGCATATATTCCAATTCCAATTCCAGTTACAATTCCAGTTACAATTCCAATTACAATTACAATAACAATTTCAATTACGATAACGATAACGACAATTATAATGATTCTATTTAGGCTGGGTCAATGAAATCACGCTGCCATCTCTAATTGATATTGCCTGTGCCATTCATTCACTCACTCATTCATTCATCCATTCGTCCATTCGTTCATTTGCCGCCTTATTGTTGTTACTTATCGCCCAAGTTGTTTCGCAAAGGCCAAAAATTCAATTGAGCGGAAAATATGTTGTCTTTGCGATTTTCCTTTTGGCATGCTCGTTTATCTGGCCGCCTTATTGTGTAATGATGACAAAGTGCTGCTGCTGCTGCTGCTGCTGCTTGATGCTCGCCATCTCAGTCACAGTCAGAGTCACAGTGGAAGTCGAAGTCGATGTTCCTCTCTTCCATCTTCCATCTTCCATCTTTCATCTTCCATCTCCCATCTCCATCTCAGTTCGCATCAGCACATTCATTCATTTGTCTGCGTGCTCATTCATAAACGAAACGGACAAGGGACAACGGACAAGGGACAAGGGGCAAGGCAGGATGTTCGTTCGTCCAGCTGTCGCTGCTGCGTAACTAAAACGACAGTTGACAAAGGCTAAGCAGGCAGTCGCAGTCGCAGTCACAGTCGCAGTCGCAGTCATCCAGTTAGTCCACAGTTTCATCTCCTGTCGACAGCGTGGAAATTTCAATTCGCCATACAGCTTTGCGGTCATTTATACAAACACAAACACACCCACACCCACACATATATATATATATATATACATACTAGCACAGCTAGTCGCATATTTGTGGTCGTTTCTTTCTTCTTTTTTTTTCTACAGTCATGCCTTTTATATTACAGTTACAAATTTGCGTCTATTGTTGATAATGGCTGGGATGGGATTCTGAGCTGTGCTGGGATGCCTCGGTCGACCGAGCGCTGTTGCCTGCGGCGCTGTGCCTGATTACTTTTTCTAGCTTACTTAAAATTCGATTAGGCCACGCCCACTAACTAACTTTTTTGCTTGCGACACGCTGCTCTTCCTTTTCCCACTCATCATCTCATCTCTCTCTCTTTCTTCTTTTTGTTTGCAGTTTGCGAAGGATTGGCATTATTGCACGGATTTCGTTGATTGCAGAAATGTAAGTACATGCCTATGGCAAAGCTTCCCCCAACCCCCTTATTTAATAATGATGAGTAGAGAAGCGATAACAGCAGCCCGAATAGCCCTAAGCCCTGGCTATCTAAACAGTCCAGCAACAGTTAATAATTGTTATTGCGACCCCCCCCCCCCATCCACACACACACCCCACACTCCGTTAACCCATAAGCGTGCCCCCCAAATGAGAAATGTATTCAAGCTACAGCGTGGCTCAAAAGAGTTTTTAAGTTGATTGCGCTGTTTGTGTAACTGAAGCAGATCAGCTTTTAGCGTAATAAATTCATTTTGTTTAGGTTTCAATTTATTTAATCTAGTGAGAAGAAAGTACTTAAAGTACTTATTCGATTTAGCCTAAAGCTAACATCATTTTTTGAATAGATAAGCAAGATGCTTTCAAAATACTTTCAATTCAGTTATTTATTTAAGTCACTTGATTAATAAATAATTGTTGGTTTTTCTTGCAAAAGCACCAAAAGCACATTCACAGCACAGAATCACAATATTCAATAAAGTACATTTTTTCTACGAATTGGAATTATTTATAAATTGAAAAACGAGCGCTGACAAAATGTGACAATTCAGAAATGGACAAAATTGATTTACCAAGTATTTGGTGTGTTTAAGCAGACACAATAAATGCAGCAATAAGTACAGTTATTGAATTGATTGCTTTGCGAATGTTCATTTTTGGTGTGCGTATTTTAGGACGGTGGGCACATTAATGGGTTAAACGCTGTTGCTGTTGCTGTTGATTGCTGCGGGCGGCTGTCGAAATTGCGTTGCCAATTTGTGGCCAACAAAGTGGCGACTCCGCACCTGCCTGCTCTCTCCATACCAAACTCTATGTACTCAGCGACACTTCAAGCAATGTATGTATATATGTATGTATGTATGTATATATATATATGTATGTATGTATGTTATGCTGTTGCTGTTTGTATGCTGCCCTTTTGCACCTAACGCCACCTGACCGTCTCTAACCCCGTCCGTACACACAGTGCTGGCAAAACTGCCAAAGGCAATTGGCGCCCTTTGAGCTGCGCGTTCATCATGCCCAGCGACAGGGCGCTTTGGTCCTCACCGACATCGGCTGGGACGAGCTGATTGCGAACGCATCTCGTCAATGCCTGATCACTTGGGAGGTGTCCGGCGGTGGGCTGATGGGCAATCTGCTGACAGACACCGCACGAGCCGAGCTATCACTCTGGCCGGATACGGTTTATAACATACAGGTCACCTGCAAGCACAAGGTAAGTAACCCAGTAACCCAACCCACACACACACACACACACAGGAATTGTTGGCCAAAAGAATATTGTCACACACTCGTCCTTGTTCTCTGTTATTCCTTGCAGCTAACGGGCCAGATGCGACGCTCATTGAAGCTCAATGTGGACACACATCAGCTGTTGTCCGATGCAGCAAGCAGTCTGCTGCCCCTATCCGTATCTCTATCAGTTGCAGCGACGAAAGTTGCAACAACAGTTGCAGCAACAGCAACAGCAACAACAACAACGGCAGCAACAACAACATTGCAACGTGCCAGACCCACGGACCGAGTGTACATCATCAGTGCACTGCCCACGGCCAGTCAGCTGAGTGGCGTTGTCTATCCGGCATTTGGTGCGTTGGCCTTCTTCCTGGCACTGTTGGTCATGTTCCTGTTGATGCGTCCGCAACGCAAGCGGCCAACTGATGGCGATGCGGACACTGATTCTCTGCTAAGCGGACGTCGCTCCCGTCTTTCCATAGATAATTCCACGCTCCATGTATAGGCGCTCGGCCCAGAAGAAGGAGGAACGAGGAAAGAGGACAGCAAAGTGAACTAAATGAGAGAACTTGTAGTCGTATATGTCTGACTATGTGATATTCTGCACCCAAATTGTACATAACATACATACATATACACACACACACACACACACACACAAACACACACATATACATCTACAACAACTACATGATATGCTTCTCCATATTATACATATGGCGTAACATATGTATTTATCAAAGGCAAATATCTCACATCAAGTCAAAAAATAACAACAAAACAAAGCAAAGCAAAAGATGAAAAAAAAGTTCGCTCAAAAAGTATCGTTTAAGTTTTACCTTTTTAGTATTTAGACCAAACAACAACAGTCATCAAATTATATATATTAACTATATATATATATATATAAATAAATATACATAAATTTACGCGTACACTATATATATACATATATCATAGTTATATATACATACATATATTGCATATACTATATACAGATGCAAGTATTTAGACATAATCTAGGGGCCTTGGCCAACAAACTACATACACCAAACTAAATGCAACAAATTGCTACAAATTTTTATGCAACATACAATTTTTTTTCTCGTCGCGTCGCTTTTTCAAAACTTAAAAAAAAAACAAAAACAAAAAAAACTTACAAATCTTAAAGATCGCATGTCGTTTTCAATTCGTCGTCTATTTAATATATATATGTATATATATATACAACAAATTCAACACAAATTTGAAATCAAAACGAAATATTTTTAAAATTTTTTAAATGTTTATACATAGCTAAAATGCATTAACAAAAAAACGAAACAAAAAAAGAAAAACAACAAATAAAAAACAAGCAAACCTAAATTTCATATATGTAATGGAAATAAAATAGGTACTTGAGCATCTCAACAAAAACAAAAAAAAAAATTAAAAAGCTTCGCTACGCAAAATGCCTGTAAATATTTAAGCGTCATTAAATTAATGAATTGAATTGTTTATCGTACTTTTTTGGGTTTTTTGTTTGTTAAAACTATCTACACACTTACATACATATGCATATACATATATTGTCTTATCAAGCTCTTTTCCTGGTCAAAGTATCCTATACAGTTTAAGTGGCAGTAACAGCAGAAGAGGCAATAAATCAAAACAAAATCTGTTCTATCTGATTGTCTGATATATACATATATACAAACATATACATACACACATCTATATCTATATGATAATCAACTACAAGTCTGTAGTAATATATTACCTAAGACTAGCAATTGAATGCTTTTGAAAATCGGACCAACTTCAAGTTGTTGTTTTTGTCCTTCTATGTTATGCTATGTTCATTGTGTTAAGATTATTATTATTATTATTTATTTGTTTTTTTTTTTTTTTGTTTTTTGTGACTGACATACACACAATACAATACATATATACATATAGCGTTCAATTGTGTAAATGCAATTCCCACATAGGCTGCCAAATCGAATTCGAAATCAGTCTCAATACGCTCAACTATAGCTATAGATAGATATTACAATAGAGTGCGGCATATAGACTAATCGAACTAGATAACAAAAACTACAAACACAACACACACACATTTATATATATATATATATATATATATATATATATATATATATATATATACTAAAATATAACTACATACATACAAACATGTGTAGACAACAGTAGTTAGAAGAAGACAAAACAAAAACAAAAAACACTTTCGTTAAGTCTGATGCTTAGATTAATAATAGCTTGTCAATAAACATAAACAATACATACAAATCAACTAAATAACCGGAAAAGAGCATACAAGATTCGGTGCTCACCGAAATTACTAACTTACATATATAAGAAAATGTGTAAAAGTCCTTCTTGTCTCTTGTCTCAATATTGTAATTATTCTAATTAATTACTTAACAATGATTTCTCTTTCAATTTTATTTTTTTTTTATCTAGATTTAATGTGTTAATGAAGAACTTTATTGTTTATTATTATTTTGATTCTATTATGTAAATATAATTTGAATTGTTATTCCGCAGCATTTGGGGTTTTAGTCGTATTTGTTTTGGGTTGGCATGGAAATATATTTGTATAGTATTTGTATATATACATATATATATATATATATATATATATGCATATAGGCTTGTCCAACTAGTAAACTCATCGATTTTTTTGCGGTATGGCATGGATGTTGATAAAAACAAAATGGATAACCACTTACCATATAAATTGGAGCCGCAAAATATGCCAACGATAAAAAAAAAACGCAGAGAAGCAGCTTTTGTTTGGGGTGTGTGTGTCCCTTATCCAATTGGTTTGGATTCTCCCCCTGCTTTACCTACTTATGGAGCAGGGATTCGACTATGCCACCGCCCCACTTATTGTGTTGCAACACAATTTACATTTACATACTTTTATGCATTTATACATTTATGTACATATTTGTGTGAGTGTTTTTTTTGTTGTTGAATATTTTCAGTATTCTCTCGAGTATGAATAATTTGGGTCTCCGTCAGCAATACTTAACCCAAGTTTCTTGGAGCGCCAGCTCTTTCGTCATAAATTCATCGTCGACGCGTTGTCTTTAATTAGGCCATAATAGTTTTTTAATGGATGCTGATCTCCGAAGCGCTTTGACAGTTTTCGGATGCTTAAATGGATTTTGTCTTTATTCAAGCAGCAAACAGATTTGTGCATATTTATGTACATATTCTGTGTGTGTGTGTGTGTGTGTGTGTTGTGGTTATCTTATGGTAACCATGTCGGCATTTCCTTTCGAAAGCTGAACAAACATTCCAAAACTCTGTAAGCTCATATGGCGTGCAGGCTCATCTTCTTCTTCTTTATCTTCTTTGTCTTCTTCTTCTTTTTCTTGTAAAATCTCGACGCAATTACATGATTTGTTTAACAATGTAACACTTTTATTTTTATCTTAAGATGCCGTTACCACACAGCCTCAACATTGTTACGTATTTTACCCACTTGAGGATTTGTTTTGAATTTCAATACAAAGAAAGCATAAGAAAAAAGCAGCAGCGAAAAATACAAAAAATAGATACCATATTGGTGGAGGGGTGGAATGAGGGGGTTTGGGGTTGAGGAGACTTAAGGTATGACAACATGGCACCAAGCAAAATCTCAAGTTGCATTATCTCAAGTTCCATTTGGAGTTAACCAAGGGGTTGGCTTCACCTACAAGGGCGCTGTGGGTCGCTATCTCTGTCTTTCTCTTTCTCTCTCTCTTTCTCTCTCTCTCGTATCTTTCTGACGCTGTTCCGTTGACTATGAAGCACTTGGCTGGCATTTGTTAGTCGGTTTGGCTGGCTGGGCACTTGGCTTTCAACTTTGCTCGTCATTCTACTCGTTGTTCTCAAGCACTTTTTATAAACCAAATTAAATTTATATGGTCCCCTCGGCACACCCCTCGACATCCCTCGGCACCTAGGTCTCACCCATACAAGTACCCATTCCCATCCCATACCCATTTCCATTTCCATTCCCATGCTCTCAACGCTGTCAACTGCCAATTAGCTGAGCATTTTTCAACATTTTAAATTGTCTCGCCGAGTGCGTGGCCCCAGCTCTCCGATCTGCTCTCGGGGGCAACACTTGAGTGAGTCGTCTTATGCGACACCCATCTCCTTCCTTCTTCCTCCTCCTCTTCCTCCAACTCCTCCTCAATGGCTTTAGATTTTACTCTGTTTGTTTGTTCTTGATTTTGTTGCTGCTGCTGTTGTTGCTGTTGCTGTTGATGTTGATGTTGTTGCCGCTGTCAGCTGTGCAGCGCGTGCTTCATTTATCAAAAAGCAATTACAATGTTATGGGCAATTCGATGCCTGATGCTTGGATTTTTCATGCCCCAAGGGCTCTTCTACCACACTCCGTCTTTTATCAACATCCAACATCCAACAAAAAAAATCACCTGCTAAAACAAAAGAAGAAGAAGAAAGAACACCCGAAAACTTAATTTGATTTCATTTTGTTTGCATTGTGCTGTTGCTTTTTTATTTATTTATTATATCTTTTATTTTTGTTTTTATAAAATATATGATGATATTAATATATAAAGTCAAAATAAAAAATTAAAGCGAAAATTTCAACTTGAAAAACAAAATCGAAAACCGAAAACCGAAAACCGAAAAGCATATAGAGCGTACCTACAAACATATTGTATTACAACATTAACAAAACAACACAAATTATTAACTTTAAGTAGACAAAACGACAAGAGAACAAGATGCAGAAAAGGCAACAGAAACAAATAAAATTAGACTACAAAACTCAAAGCAAGCGAAATTCTACAAACACTAGATGTGAGGGGGCTAAGGAGGAGGAGGAGAAAGCATCAGCAGCATCAGCAGCAGCAGCAGCAGCAGTAGAACAGTAGCAAGAACAAGCACAACAAGACAAAAAGCGAGCATGTGTTTGTGCCATAAAAGGTTTCTCATTACAATTTTTTGGCCAAGGGTCGCATCGTTGCACAAAATTACTTCTTTTTTTTTTTTTGTTTTGTTTTGTGGATGCTTCAACTGCGTCGCTCTCTCAGCGCCAACGGCTCTATTTTGGGAGGGAAGTGGGGAGGCGGCAGCAGTAGGTGTATTTGGCTGCCTGAAGTGCTAGGGCGGGGCGGGGCGGGGCGGAGTCGGGAACAGGCAACCGCCCAAAGGGCGATTGATATACAACACACACAGCCGCGCTGCCATAGATACAGATACACACACACACACACAGACATACATACATATATATATATATATATATATAAATATGTATATTGTATGTAGTACACACAGAGATGCTTATGCTGTTTATAGCTGTGCCACAAACAAACAAACAAGCACACACACACAGACACAGACAGAGATAGAGACTGGAAGACAGACAGACAGACAAAATGAAAGACAGAGCTGTAGCTGGGTCGTCGGTTGCACGTGACAAGGCCAAACATGTTCGAAGGCTGCGAAGTCAGCGTTTGGTTCGATGCAAAGGATAAAACGTATCCATATCCCAATAGCTTTGCAGTGCGTCGGCGCCTCGCCCCGCCTCGCTCACAATGGGCAGGAAACAGGCAGCGACGGCAACAACAACAGCAACAGCAACAGCAACAACGGGCACAAAACAATGGGGCAGCCTTTGCCTTTTGCCTTGCTCTTGATGATGATGCTGCTGGTGCGTGCTGCTGGTGCCTGCTTCTGCTGCTGCCTGCTCTTAGCGTGGCACAATTCGCGAACGCGGCGCTCACATTTAACCTTACCAAAGGTTACATGCGGAGAACGCGCGAGAGCTAAAGACGACGACAACGACGAGGTTAGCCGACGACAGCTGGCGTGTTCCGAGGAGCTCGCTGTTGAAGCTTT